CGGATGCAGGTAGGCAGCGTCTCGTATATATCGATTTAGCCATATAATGCCGAAACCACAAGCCTACTGCAGTTCTATCTCTATCGGTGGGAGGTAGATACTTTACACTTCCTGTCGTCAAGCGCTCCAACGTCAAGCATACGAGAGGACCACAATCCCCTCTGGCTCCTTCCGTTTGTTGTGGCGCGGTCTCGTCTCTGATAACTGTAATATTGAGCTTCTTTGGCTTCTTGTTTTCAGAACGAGTCAAATAATTTATCGCATCCAAGAATTTAGCCAAATGAGAGCTCCATCCCTTGATAATATCTCTTAAATCAGCCAATGATATGTAATTTATCATGCTGTCATATACTATTGTCTTAAGGGATGGGAGCTGAAGCTCGACGAGAATCCAATGTTTACGTTCCAAAACAGGGATAAACACCTGCAATCATAAGTAATAATTCATTCATTTGCGCACTTATTTATGAATACCTTTAAACTCAATCCAAAATAAATACTAACCTTATCGACCTCCCACCATGCAGGATAAAATTTAGCTTGTTCATTGTCCAACGTAAATGATTCATCTCGTTGATTCTTCAAGTGAACGGCGTTAAAAGACGTCGGCATAATTGTATATCGTGTATTTCTTTTATTTTTTCTTAAGTTTCCTAATTATTAGAAGACGTGTCACCCATGCATCGATATGTTGTTTTACAAAAAAAGATATATATTAGTGACTTACATAAATTTAAAAAAAATTAATCAAATTGAAATATAAGAAAAATATAAGACTTACCCCCATCGAAATAGCCATTGTCTTCGACCCCTAATAATACGCCCTACCAAGATCGATCAAGCAACAAATAGATATCATCGGTGAGTTTGCATATGTCAGTGAAACACCTCTGGCTCCGCTCATGTAGATAAAAATCAACTACGGTCTTAGCCCAAAGGGTGTTATCCACAATTGTGTCCGGTAGTTGTCTCCTCTCCACTTCAGATATTGGAATGGTACTGGCCGGTAACTTATACGAGAGCCAATTCTCATTTATCATGTCCGGCACGTCAGAGGGTTTCTCAAGAAGCCTACATATGACGCCATGTGAATCGGGCTCTTGAATGGTGGGAGGGACCTTTTCAATGATGACAGTGGCCTCTTGAACGATGGGAGGGGACTCTCGAGGAATGATAGGGGCCTCTTCAACGATAGGAGTGGACTCTTGAGGGATGACAGGCGAGTCGGGCTTCTTCTTGCGGTGTCTTCGCACTATTGGGGTGTACGGAGACTTAATAGCACGTGCACGCTGTCTGATGCGTGAACTCTGTCGTGCAAGCAAAACCCGACGTAAAGCATCCACTTTATCGGGCCGCTAAATAATTAAATACAAAAATCAGTAAATAAACAGACATGATATTTAAACAGTGAAAACAAAGACAAATATGTTTCAAACTTGCATTGTATTCAGCCAAGTCATTATTCTATCATAGTTCACAAAATGCATCAGATAACAAAGATAAATATATTTCTATCATAGTATTTGTCTTTGTCTATTGGTTGAAGTAATGCAATCCATTCAAGTTTCAATTTGCAGAAGAATAAATAGTTTACTTTCGCAACACGAAACTTAAAATCGCAACGTGGAAAATGACTATTGCAACGAGAGAATCGCAACGAGAAATGAAAATCGCAACGATAGAATTGCAACGCGAAATGAAAATCGCAACGCGAAACCAAAATTGCAACGCGATTATAGTTTCGCGTTGCGATTTTGGTTTCGCGTTGCAATTTTGTCGTTGCGATTTTCATTTTGCGTTGCGATTCTATCGTTGTGATTTTTATTTCTCATTGCGATTCTCTCGTTGCGATTTTCATTTCGCGTTGCGATAGTCATTTTTCACGTTGCGATTTTAAGTTTCGTGTTGCGAAAGTAAACTATTTCTTCTTCTGCAAATTGAAACTTGAATGGATTGCATTACTTCAACCAAAAGACAAAACAAAGACAAATACTAACTTCAGAGTATTAAAGAATACACAGTTTAGTTTAACCAAAAGACAAAACAAAGACAAATAGTATTTAACAGTGTTAAAGAATACACAGTTTAGCAGAATTGGCAGCAACCGAATAAATTTACTTCAACCAAAAGACAAAACAAAAGATAAATACTAACTTCACAGTGTTAAAGAATAAACAGTTTAGCAGTATTGGCAGCAACTGAATAAATTTACTAAGCAATCTAAGTGAAATGGTTAATCTAAGTGAAATTACGAGTAAATTTATCATCAAGTTAAATATGGAAAATCTTAAACTTACCTCGTTGCGTAGAGTATGAACCTCATTCTGCAACGATACTACCATTTCACGTAGAGCGGCAACCTCACCACGTAAAGTAGACACCTCCACACGCCATGCACCATCGTTATCGCGTAGAGTACCGATCTCCTCACGCAAGGCATTGACCTCATCACGTAACTCCCTTGACTCATCCCGTGGTGGTGGAGAACAGAGAGATAGAAGCCGTGACATCTTTGTCGGTCGCCTATCATGAGGTGATGGTGGAGAAGAGGCTCGATGATGTGACGGGATAGGTGATGGCTCTGGGTGAGGTGATGGCTCTCGAAGTGGAGGAAGTGGATGCTGCTCATCATCCGTGCCATCAAAAAAACGCTGACTAGCTTGCCACCAATTAGTGGCAAGCTCATCCTCCGTGGGTGTCAGTCTTTATAATGGAGTGTTGGCCTCCTAACAATATAAAAACTCAAACAAAGTTAAACGTTTACTATTAATAACTTGTTTATATATGAAAGTATTTGTGTTAACTTACATTATTTATTGTCGCATATGATATTAAGTCTTCCCAATCCAACATACTTTTCCTCTTCCAGGAAATAGCCATGGGAATATCATTTGACGTTTTTATTGCATATGTCCGCATGCTAGGGAAAGCCTCGAATATCCAAATCTACAAACAATATAATAACAAACATTAGTAATTGTTAAAATAATTAATTATAATTTTGGAAACATTATATGGAAATTCTTACCTTAAAGGCCCAAACAAAGCCTGACAAAGTATATTTCGACCCATCGCCATGCAAACTTTTACGGTCATCAAAGGCAGACGACAACTTAGTCCAGGTAGCTTTCCATATATATGAACCCCACGGAAACAGATTCCATGCATTCAGGTCCTCTACCAATAATATTAGCTCCTGAGGAATAGGTTGTCTGGCCTCTCTGCCTAAAAAGCCGGCATACAAAAGTTGTAGAAGGCATACTCGGACAACATCGACGTCATCCATCCGAGTGAAACCATCTTTCTTATTAAACAATTTCTTCAGGTCGTCGACGTATAGGTTCGGCTTCTCCATGACTCATCTGGAAAAACCCGGGATAACCATGATGGGCGGGCGATATGACGAGTGTACTGGCCTACATCGTGTCCGAATCATAGACCAGTGATTAAGCATAACTCCTTCCGCCCAAAACAAGTATACGCCGGTGGAAAATGAAACCATATCTCTTCCTCACCACGTTGTATACTGTCGGGTAGATCGCTAGTCATGGTCTGAAGCCACAAATGGGTCAAATTAGCATCTCCACCCGGATGCTGTACTCTCAGCCATGGCCCGAAGCAGGTTTCCTCAAACAATTGTCTTTGTGCAGGTGAAAGCTTCGAAGCAATTGTAGTGGCTAGGCTAACTTTATTCCTTAATGTCAATGAAGCCGAAAAAAATTTCTACAAAAACAATAAACATACCAAGTTAGATATACCAAAAACTACACTGTGAAGATACACCAAAAACAATAAACATAAATAGTAGTTTATTCTTGAAACTAAAATTTGCAACACTGTTTTGTCTTTTGGTTGAAATGAAAATCGCAACGAGAGAATCAAAATGCGAAATGAAAATCGCAACGAGAGAATAGTAACGCGAAATGAAAATTGCAACGAGAGAATCGCAACGCGAAATGAAATCTAAGTGAAATGGTTAATCTATTATTGAAGTTACCAGTAAACTTATCATCAGTTTCAATATGAAAAACCTAAAATAATGCAAAAAATTCAAAATAAAAATAATTAAAAAAACTAACACTCGGAGGTTGATTTTCCATTTCTGAATGATTGTGAGGGATTTCTGATCGTGAATGGTTGTGAGGGATTTCGCCGGAGATGGGGACGGAAATCTTCGGAGATGGGGACGGATTTCGCCGTAGAGAGTGAGAGATGGAGATGGGACTGAGTTGTGATTTTAGGTTTTAGGTTATGAGTTGCGATTACGGGATTTTCTCTTAATATTTGTGTTTGGAATTTGAAAAATAAAATACGCGTTGCGATTTACGGATACTCGTTGCGATAGTCATAATCGCGTTGCGATTTACGTATTCTCGTTGCGATTTACGGATACGCGTTGCGATTTACGGATACGCATTGCGATTTACGGATACGCGTTGCGATTTTTACGGATACTCGTTGCGATAGTAAGAATCGCGTTGCGATTTATATGTTCGCGTTGCGATTTTCATATTCGCGTTGCGATTCTGGAAAATCACAATGCGAATTTGTACTATCGCATTGCGATTTTTATTTCGCATTGCGATTTTAATATTCGCGTTGCGATTTTGTTGGTCATTTTGGCAAATCCAAAAAAAATTGGTTAAAACCGTATATTATAAGGCATTTTTTGTCACTGAGGTGATTTTCTCAAATTTAAATGGCTGTGGATGCTTAGGGTTTGCCTGCATTTTACTTTCCCATCGATCCATACTTGCCAATTGGATACGAGTTTCTAACAATGGTTTATCACACAGAAAACCTCAACAGTTGCAACTGTCAGACACGGAGCATGAGGAGAAGGCTCGAAGTTGTGAATTCGTTCGAGTACTGTTGATATCGACTATGCTGGACGAGAACTTATAAGTTAATGAGGGTGTTTGTATAATCTATTGGCAAATATAATATTAGGTCAGAGTTAAAAGCATAAAGAGGAAGATTGAACAAAACTATGTATTCCTATTGTATTTAGAGCTTTTGTGCATAATGGAAAGATGAAATAGATGTTCTTATCAGTTTAATATCTGATATGTGGCCAATACTCACACGATATTAAATTTATTTTTTGAGGGGGAGTGGCCCCACACAATAGCTTGCTATTGGGTCTCTCGAGAGTCGCCCAAGCGTTGCCTAAAGCTTGGGCCTGGCACACCCCCACCCAATCTCAGTACAAAATGTTGTTTGTTGGAGTTGTCCGCTATTTTTTTATGCTTCACTGAAATAGTATATATGACGTTCTTTTCTTCTTAATTTCAGCAATAACTAGGACTTCTATGAGTAGTATTGTATTTAATAATTTTAAATCTGTTAAATTGATCTGCATGGTTTTTTGTATTTTGATTTCCCTTACAAAATCTAAAATTTGATAAATATAAACATCATTCCTTATTGATTTACTGAACTTTAATCTCTTTCGATCGAGTCTTCTCTTTATTGAATTTAATAGTAACCTCTTTCGATCGGGTCTTCTCTTTATTGAACTTTATTCTCTTTCGATCGAGTCTTCTCTTTTATTATTTACGGTAAGGACCTTATATTAATAACATGGTCCTTATACTAATAGCATAAGGACTTGTGGTAAGGTCTTGTCCAGTGCACAGAACAAAGGAGCATGCGGTAAGGTCTTATAAGTCATAGACAAAACGTGAAATACTTCCTCCAATCGTAGCCCTCAATGGTAATAAATGTGCGTGTATTTGAGTGAAAATAGTAGTTTAATTTACTAAAACGTTAAAACATTTCATATTCTAGAATCAAATACAAAAATACGGTAACTAAAGATCATGTCAGAAGCATACGATAAATCAAATATCATGTATTTACAATATTTAATAAAAATAGAAATTTAAAATAGTTTAGACAGATAGTTAAAACAATAACACCAATAGGAACACACCTGTACCGATCTGAGAAGTCTGGGACGATAACCTACTCTTGAGTCTGCCTATCACGGTCAGAGGTAGTGCTAGATCCTACAAATCAGAATAACTGCATCAAAATCCTATTAAAATAAAGAGTAAACTTTAATTAAACAATTTATAAAAACCTATGAGTAGCTATCAAAGAACGCGAACTATACTGATATACCAGATGGGAAACACCAAATCTAGTCAACCCTTGATAAGGGGAATCACAAGTCTCTTCATGAAAATATAATCCCAGATTAATTCTATAATCAAATCCCAAATAACTATGTATAAATGCTAAAAATACTAAGCATTTTTTTGTTTAATGGGCTCGATTCAGGGCTTTTGGATTAGAATTTGGCAAAACAAACCACAAAATCAAACTTAAGACGTCAAAACATTTAGATGAAGGCTTTCAAAAAAAGTCAACGTCAATCAACGGTCAAATTCAACACTGATCAACGGTTAACAACGACGGTCAATGGTCAACGGTTCGATTTAGTTTTGTTTGGTTGGATCGATTTGGTTCAGTTGGATCAGTTCGATCCGGTTCAGAAATGAGTCAGTTTAGATTTGGCTCGAATGGTTCAGACGGCTCAGATCGGGCGATCGAGTAGGATACGAGTTAGCGAGTCGAGTTGACCCACTTCTAGAAGCCCACTAGAGTGGTGGACAAGCCCTACACGCAGTGGCAGCGCTTGGGGGCGCATGCGGGGTCTCGGGGCATCAGAAAATTTACGTAAAATTTCTAAAAATTATTTTAAAGTATTTTGAGATACTTACCAAGCTCAGTTCACGGCGATGAACGAAAGAGAGCTCGATTACGCTATGTCAAAAAATTAATTCACCTCACCCCTCCACACGCTGATGGTAACGACTAGAAATAGACACCGGTGGACTTGGGACAACGCAAGGACTCCATTGGCATGGGCAGTGTAGCAAACGGAGCTACGGTCGACGATAAATCTGCGGTTGAAGATTATTGGCTTAAACTTTTTAAAAAGGGAAAGTAAGAGAGAAAAAGGGTTTGAATTTTTTCAGAAATGGAAATTTTTAACTTTTAAACCCTATCCAAAATGAAAATGATAGAATTATGCTATAGGTCCCTAAACATTTATTGTTTTCTGAATTTAGATATGAATTTGCTTAAAAATTCATTTTAATCCTAAATTTAGTTAAACTTTTAATTTAGTCCCTAGAATAAAATTAAGAAAAATTTAGCCCTAATTTGGGGTATGACAACTCTTTCACTCTTAAAAAAAATTTCGTACTTGAAATTTACCTAGTTTAAACAGATACATAGACTGAACCTCCATCGACTCCAAGGTCTCCAAGTAGCTTTTTTTGGGACTGCGGTTGCTCCACTGAACTTTAACCATTAGAATCCACCTGTTCTGAAGAACACTCTCGTCCCGGTGTAAAATCTGAATATGTTTCTCCTCATAAGGCAAATCAGGTCTCAAATCTACATCCTCAACCTGAATGATGTAACCCAGATCCAGACGATATCGCCTCAACATAGAAACATGAAAAACATCATGAATACGACTAAGTGAATGGCAACTCAATCTGATAAGAAAAATGTCTGATAATCTTTAGAATGCGATACGACCCAATGAATCTTGGACTCAAATTATCTTAAAACCTTTTTACACGGAGATACATTAATCATCTGACCCACATAAAATTTATGTCTATCAAAGGTCTCTCTCAGGCGATCACAGATCAATATGAAAATATGCTATCTCCTGGACTAACTCTTGACCCAACACCCTCCTATCATGCAACTCAGTCCAACAGATATGAGTACGACATTTACGTCCATACAGAGGCTCATACTGTGTTATACGGATGCGAGCTTGGTAGCTATTGTTGTAAGTAAACTTGGTTATCGATAGAAAGTCCTCCCAATTACCATAAAAGTCAATCACACAACCCTATATTATGTCCTTTAGAACATATATCATTCTCTCAGACTGACCATCAATCTGTGGATGAAAAGTTGTACTGAAGTTCAGACGAATAACTAGAGCCTCATGCAGAGCCTTCCAAAATCTAGAAGTGAATCTCAGATCTCGGTCAGAAATAATAGATAATAGAACACCATGAAGTCTGAAAAATCTTAGAGATATATAACCTAGGCAGCTTATCCATGGAATAATTAACTCGAACATGAATAAAATGAGCTGACTTGGTAAGTATATCAACAATCACCCAAACAAAATCCCTTTTAGAATGAGTCAAAGGAAACCCAATCACAAAGTCCATCATAACCCGCTCCCATTTCCACTCTAGAATCTTAATGGGCTGCAACAAAACAGACGGATGCTGATGCTCTGCATTGACAAGCTGACAAGTCAGACACCTCACCACAAAATTAGAAATATCATTTTTCATACCAACCCAATAACAACGCTCTTTAAGATTCTTGTACATCTTGTCCTTACCAAGGTGCATAACATAAGGACTACTATAGGCCTCATAAAGAATAATCTGCCTCAACTCACCATCCCTAGGAATACAATAACGGTCGTGGAAGCACAAAATACCATCCTAATTAAGAGTATAATCCGAGCTCTATCCTTTCTCAACTTGCTCGATGATGGAAAACAAATAGCTATCTAGGAGCTGCTTAGCCTTAATCTCTTCGGCTAAAGTCAGCTTAATCTGCAACACTGACAATAGACTCCTATCATCATACAAACTCAACCTGGAAAACAAGGCTCTAAGATCAGATACTGCCTTACAGCTCAAGGCATCTGCCACCACATTGGCCTTGCCCAGATGATAATCTATCTCACAATCATAATCCTTTAGAAGCTCTAACCAGCGACACTGTCTTATATTCAACTCCTTCTGAGTAGGCAGATACTTCAGTCTCTTATGGTCGGTATAAATATAACACTTATCACCAAAGAGATACTATCTCCAGGTTATCAGAGAAAATACCACTGCAGCTAACTCCAGATCATGGGTGGGATAGTTGCACTCATGCAACTTTAATTGACGAGACGTATCAACTATAACCTTCTCATTCTGCATTAGAATACATCTCAGTCTAGAGTGAGAAGCGTCGCTGTAAATTGAAAAATCCTTCCCAGACTCAGGCTGGATCAATACTAGAGTTTCAATCAGAACATTCTTTAGTTTCTCAAAAACTATACTACTGAGCTTTAGACCAGACAAATGGAACATCCTTCCTCAACAACTTCATTAGAGGAGATGAAATGATGAAGAAACCCTCGAGGAAACGACAATAATAACCAGCTAAGCCCAAGAAGCTACGAATCTCTAAGATGTTCTTAGGTTACTTCCAGTTCAGAATAACCTCCACTTTACTTTGATCCTCTAGCATACCCTTAGAAGATACGATATATCCTAGAAAAGCCACCTCACTGAGCCATAACTCACACTTGCTCAACTTGGCAAACAACTTATGCTCATTAAAAGTCTGTATAACGATCCTCAAATGCTCATCGTATTTTGCTTCAGTCCGAAATATACCAATATATCATTTATGAACATGACCATAAACTAGTCCAAATAAGATCAAAATACCCAATTCATTAGATCCATAAAGACAAAAAGGGCATTGGTTAACCCGAATGACATCACTAGAAACTCGTAATACCCATATCGAATACGAAAATCAGTCTTGGGGACATCAGAATCTTTCACTTTGAGTTGACAATAACTAGATCTCAAGTCTATCTTTAAATATATGGTAGCCCCTCAGAACTGGTCAAATAGATCATCGATCCTGGGCAGTGGATATTTTTTTTAACTGTGAGCTTGTTCAACTTCATGTAATCAATACAAAGTCTAAACATCTCATTTTTTACAAAGAGAACTAGAGCACCCTATGGTGAAACACTGGGTCGAATGAATCCCCTATCCAATAATTCATAGAGTTGGACTTTCGGTTCTTTAAGCTCCTTAGGGTCCATATGGTAAGGAGCCATCGAAACTAGAGTCGAATTGGAATAGATTTCAATCTCAAACTCAATTTCTCTATCCAGTGGTAATCTAGGCAACTCCTCTATAAAGACGTTATGAAATTCTTTAACGGTCTAGATTCTCTTTATGTCAGATCGAGAATATCTGGTATCTAGAATATAAGCGATGAACGCCTCAGAACCCTTCTTGATCACCCTTTTAGCTGCCAAAGTAGACACATCATTCATATTTACTCTTATCCCCGTCAGAGAGTTTATACTTAAGTGAACTCTATCTTCTTGAAAGATCACAACC